CCATTTAAAAAGTCGGAGCTGACCTTCGCGTGTCTTTCAGGTGGCTCTTCAAGATCAAACTAATAACACCATCTTATGTCCCCCTTGAAACCATACAACTTTTGTCTAAAACTTTTTTCAAAATAATCGACTCCAATCGAGATATTATCTTGTCTCAAGATAAATGCCCCACCCTGTATATATATATATATATATTTTTTTTTTCCAATTCGTTTTTAGTACTTTAGAAAAAAGGTATTATGTTCGCGAGTGAGCGCGGATTGCTGCGGCAGCGCGAGAATTTGACGACGCGGCAGATGGATGACCGCGAACAGATAATTGCACATAAAAAACTTGCCACGACACGTAATTCTCTTTTTTTTGGTTTTGCGTTTTATTTAATACACCACAATCAACAAATTACAATAAACTGAACATAAAATTTCAGATCCAGAAAACGTACGGAGAAGTCCGAGAAACAAAGCGGTCGACGTATTTTTGCGGTTAAACTGAGCGGTTATTCTAAGCGGTTTTTTCAAAGCGTACTGCGAGCAGCGTTAAGTGCGAGACTTGCTTGGTCCACGCGCGGCGCCCGTTATAAGGCGCTCGGAATTTTGGGCCCGCGTCGGCGTGGACCAATCAATTTAAGATTTTAGCGGTGACACGATTGCGACGTGTGTCATTGGCTGATGATGACGTCTCATGTCGTAAACAATTCATTTTTCATGCGCGCAATCTTTTAAGATCAGCTGATTGGTGATCAGCTGATCGTGACGCATGGGCGCGCATGCCCATGAGCGGCGCAAATCTTAACGGCGGTTGACAATGTTATTGTCCGCGCAATAACGAGCGTCTTTTTTCCGACGGAAAAAAAATGAGATAGGTCGAGTGTTCGAGTTTTTTCTCGATAAACAAAGATTTCGAGAACTTTCTCGACGCTCGTTAATTTTAAATATAATAAATATTCGAGTATTTATTAGCGAGAATATGCGAGTTCCGCTATGTGATTTCTGAACTCGAAATGATTGATTTTAATTTCGAACATCCCGCCCGCCTCGTCAGTACGTGACGAAATCTCCGAGTGTGTAAGAGCGCGGACAGGTGTCGTACGCTGTTCCAATTATGAGATGAGAAGTGATTGATGAATGGAATGTGAAAGTGACGTAGCGTACGATGTGTTGTTGCGGTCAGTCGGATCTTTCGCGAGAACGCATAATGCGTAATTGCGAAATGTGTGCGGCGGTGTATCATATGAACAATGAGCGAAGTGAATTAGTGAGCGGTCTCGCGAGTGTATGGTGGTGAGTGATCGCAAGTGAAGTGCAGTGGAGTAAAAATGCAGATTTGACGCGGTGATCGCAGAGACAAAAAATGAGAGAGACGTTTAAGTGCGCGGTACGGTCGTCGGACAATGCACGGCACCGGCCGTGATAAACATTTCCGCGGACGGACAAGTGAATTTTCGAGAGAGAAAAAAAAAATAAATAAAATAAAACAAAATAACACGGCGCTCCGTTTCGCTCACAAATCCGGGTGCGTTGCTGCTGCGGTGTCGGCTCCAGGCAGGAGGACTATCTTGGTGAGAGGCCGGACAAGCTCCGAGGATGCGGTGCGTATAGTGACCACGCGGGTCACGCCGTCGTCCCCAGGATGCAGCCGGGTGATCCGGGCGAGTGGCCATCGGGTCGGCGGTGTTGTGTCCGACCGTACGAGGCACAGAGTGCCGACGGCCGGACTGGCTGAGTCCTTCAGCCATTTCGGTCGAGATGCTAAGGAGTTGATATACTCCCGCGACCACCTCTCCCAAAAGTGGTCGCGCATCCGCTGGAGGAGCTTCCAGCGGGGCAGAAGACTGAGGCTGCCGTCCGCCAGCGAGGGCTCAGGCACTGCCAGCAGAGGGGCCCCGATCAGGAAATGCCCTGGTGTCAGTGCTGTCACGTCGTCGTGATCGTCCGAGAGCGCCTGGAGAGGACGCGAGTTGAGGCACGCCTCCACTTGAGCGAGGAGCGTCGACATCTCCTCGAAGGTGAGAGTCGTATCTCCGAGGACCCTTCGGAGATGGTGTTTCGTAGATTTCACCGCCGCCTCCCAAAGCCCGCCGAAGTGAGGTGCTGCCGGTGGATTGAACCTCCAGCGGATCCCGTCGGACGCTGCAACGTGGGCGATGCGACGGCCGTCGGATGATGATGCCTGGAACAGGCGTCGCAGCTCTCGGTCCGCTCCGACGAAGTTGGTGCCGCAGTCGGAGTAGACTTCCTTGCACAAGCCCCGACGGGAAGTGAAGCGCCGGAATGCCGCGAGGAACGCATCCGTGGAGTAGTCTGAAGCGGCTTCCAAGTGAACCGCCTTGGTGGTGAAGCAGATGAAGACGGCGATGAACGCTTTGTGCGCCTTGTGACCTCTTCCTTTTCCGGTCCGGATGAGAATCGGTCCAGCATAGTCAACCCCGGTTCGCAGGAATGGACGTGCCGGCGTGACTCGTGCTGTCGGGAGGCTGCTCATCATGGGCTGAGGTACTGCGGCCTTCCATCTCACACACGTGACGCATCGGTGGATGATTCCTTTAACGATGGAGCGTCCTCGGGGAATCCAGTACCGCAGGCGTAGCAGTCCCAGGGTGAGCTGAACCCCGCCGTGAAGCGTTCGTCTGTGGTGTGCCTTGACGAGGAGTTGCGTCATCCACGACTCTGGAGGTAAGATCATCGGATGGCGTTCGTCTCCTGAGAGCACAGCGTGCTTCAGTCGGCCCCCGACTCGAATGATCCCATGATCGTCGAGGAAGGGGGTTAATTTCGATAGTGGACCCCTGATTAACTCCTTATTTTGTTTCAGGGCTGCGATCTCCTTGGAGAAGTGGAGAGTTTGCACCATGCGGAGCCAGAGGAGCAAGGCTTCTTCCAGCTCGTCAGGCGTGAGATTGGGGTGAGCCTTCGGCCTTGAGGTGGCGCCTCGCCATCGGCAACACCAGGCGGTGACCCTCAGGAGGCGATGGAGCTCGGAGAACCGGAGAAGCATCTCTGGCTCGGCTTTCTCCGCGGTCGTCAAGTGGGAGGCGATTGCTCTCGTCTCCGGCACCTCGACTTCGTGTGCGGCGTGGTCGTGCTGTGGCCAGGACGCTGGATCCTTGTCGAGCCATGGAGGTCCCGTCCATCAGAGGGAGTGGTTGAGCAGGTCCCGGGGCTCAATCCCCCGAGAGGCGCAGTCGGCGGGATTGTCTCGCCCTGGGATGTGTCGCCATCGTGCCTCCGGAAGTTTCGTTTGGATGTGGGACACCCGGTTGGCTACGAAGGTCTTCCACCTCGAGGCGTGTCCTTGTATCCACTGAAGAGTGACCCGGGAGTCCGACCATAGAGTGACTGGAGCTGAAAGCAAGTCTAAGGCTTCGCGAAGATGAAATGTCAGGTTAGTGACTAAGACTGCAGCGCACAGTTCCAAGCGCGGCAGAGACACAGGCTTAATTGGTGCGACTTTGCTTTTTGCAGCGAGCAGCTTGATCGTGGTCGAGGGGGAGCTCACCACGCGGAGGTATACAACGGCGGCGTAACCTCGTTCCGACGCATCAGCGAACCCGTGGAGCTCAACGCGTTTAGGTTGGTCATCGGCCCTCAGCCATCGGTGCAACCGGAGCTGTTCCAGCAGCGGAAGATCCTCAAGCAGACGTCTCCACAACGTCTCGTCTGATTGAGGCAGTGGGGCATCCCAGTCCAGCTGTTTCATCCAGGCTGACTGGATGAGGATTTTGGCCCGAGCGGTGACTAGAGCTAACCAGCCCAACGGATCGAATATCCGAGCCGTCTCCGACAACGCCTGTCTCTTAGTCAGCGGGGCGGTCGTGCGAGGCTGGAGGCGGAATGTGAAGGAGTCGCTGCGGAGGTGCCACCGTAACCCAAGCGTCGGGTGCGCTTCGTCCTCCCAGTCGTGGTGTGGCTGCTGGAGCTGATGCTCCCGTGGTATCTCCTCGAGGATCCTCTGGTGGTTTGAGGCCCACTTCCTCAAGGGAAACGCGCCCGCCGTGCAGAGTCGGCGCAACTGCCTTTGCTTCTCGACCGCCTCGGACAGGGTGCTGGCGCCTGTGACGATGTCGTCGACATAGCAGTCGCGCCTCAACGCAACTGCTCCCGCTGGATTTGCCGGCTCCTCATCGTCGGCTAATTGGCGGAGAGTCCTGATCGCCAGGAACGGTGCACAGGCCAGTCCGTACATCACCGTGTTGAGGCGATATTCCTGGACGTCGTCGGTGCGGTTTTGCCTCCAAAGGATCCGCTGCAGGTCTCGATCGTCGGGATGCACCAGAATCTGCCGGTACATCTTCTCGATGTCGGCGATGAAGGCGAAGCGGTGCCAGCGCCAACGCAGGAGGACGTCGGCGAGAGTTGGCAGAAGATTGGCTCCGACCAGCAATGCGTTGTTGAGTGAGTCTCCGGCAGGCGTACACTGAGATCCGTTGAAGACCACTCTCAACTTGGTGGTCGTGCTGGAAGTCCGGAGCACTCCGTGGTGTGGTAAGTAACACGCGGATTTCTTGATGAGCGGTGTTCTGACCAGGGTCATATGTTGCAGGTCCGAGTACTCCTCCATGAAGCTGCCATAGAGCTTGTTGAAGCCGGCGTCTCTGGAGCGGCGTCGCTCCATTGCCGCGAGAAGTCGCTCGGCGGACTTCCGCGTGTGTTCGAGAGGTGGAAGAGGGCCAGCCAGCGGAAGACGGACCAAGTACCTTCCGTCGGCGAGGCGCTCATGCGTGCGGGCGAAGATCTCTTCGCATTGCTCTTCCTCTGGCGTGAGCACGACGGAGGCAGGCTGCTCCTGTTCCTGCTCCCAGAACCTCTGCACTAGGGCGTTCAAGTCGTGGTCTACGGTGCACTGGAGAGAGCTGAGGGAGCCGTTGGCCGTCACGACTCCGCAGCCTCCCGATAAGATCCACCCGAACGTAGTCCTCTGCGCGATGGGTTGGTCCTTGCGACCCTTTCGGAGACCTCCGAGGAGGATCCCGGAGAAGGCATCAGCGCCGAGGAGAAGGTGGATGGGATCTCGCTGGAGATAATGAGGATCCGTCAAAGTGAGGCCGTGGATGTGCGGCCACGTGGTGGAGCCCTTGATTGCTGGCCCCTGGTAGGACGACAGCCGTGGGAGGACGTAGGCCGCTACGGTGAGAGGGGCTCCGGTCACTCTTGACTTGAGAGCGAGCGTCACCCTTCCTCGTGTGGATCCTGAACATGCTCCTCCGATTCCAACTATGGAGATCGAGGAGCGGGTGCGCGTCAGACGGAGGCGCTGCGCCAAGTCCTCTGAGACGAGGGACACTTCGGACCCCTGGTCGAGCAGGGCTCGCACATCCTGAGGTCGTCCCAGACGGTCGGTCAGAGTGACGCGCGCTGTGGCGAGAAGAGTCGCTCGTTTGTCGAGTGAAGTGCGTGTCGTGGAGAAAGTGCTCGCTTCTTGTGGTGTTGGTGCGGCGTACGCGTCGTGCAACAGCGTGTGGTGCCGCAACTTGCACGTGAAGCACGTTTTGATTGACTGACACCGTGCCATCATGTGGTTCCCGAGACAATTGAAGCAGAGTCCGCTGACCTCAACGAAGGACTTTCTTTCGCTCGCGGACTTGGATTTGAACTCGGGGCATTGCATGAGCGTGTGCTTGCCCTTGCAGGCGGCGCATTTGGACGCGTCGGGCACGTTTTTCGCGAAGTGAGTCTTCGCGGTCCGAGAGGCTTCCCCGGCACTCTTCACGGCGATCTTGGGCTTGGCGGCGTTCAAGGTAAGAATTCTTTTACTTATGAAGTCAGTGAGTGCCTCGTGACTCGGTGGGTCGGGAGAATCGCTGGTGGAGGACTCCCACTCGAGGCGCGTTCGCGAATCGAACAGTTCGATTACCAAGTGATTGAGGAGATCCATTCCATGGGAGTTGATGGGTCTACCGATGCTCTCCTGCGCGTTGACGGTGGCCGTGACGGCGTGATGGACCCGGCTTAGCTCTTCGGCGGACTCGGATTTCATTTTCCCGACGGCGGTAAAGGTAGCGAAATTTGAGCGCATGAGTTCCTTTTTATTCTCGAAATGTTTCGCCAAGATCGCCCACGCGCGGTCGTAATTCTCGCTTGTGACCGTTAGTGACCGAATTAATTTCTCCGCAGATCCCTTCACGCAGGAACGAAGGTAATGGAACCGCTCAATGTTCGAGACCGATGGATTTTCTCCCACGAGGGATAAAAAGAGGTCCCGGAAGGAAGGCCAGTCTTCATAGGCGCCTGAGAACGGCGGCAATTTTATGCGCGGCAACGCGGTTTTAGGAGAAGAGTCCGACTTCGATTCCATCCTTGGTGCGACAGCTGACTCGGCCCGTAACCTGTCAGCGTAGTCGCTCAACGTGCTCCGCTGTGAAACGTACGTACATTCCGCGGTATCTATGAAGTCACTTTTGGCGTACTCACTCTCCATGTATCTGTCTTTCAGCGCCGCTCGTATGAGCTCGTGTTGAGCCTCGAATTTTGCCCAGAGGTTGTCGAGGATGGTGAGACGAGCGTGGACGGCACCGGCGGTGATGTTGGTGACGCCCATCTTCCGGAGGTTATCCACGGAGCGAGACATTCGTCCGTGGATGTCGTTCTGGGCCTCTAATAAGGCCTTCAGGTCGGCACTCATTGTTCACTTATTTGCTTGTCTGTTTCAGCACTGCACAGCACTGGAAACGTCACCCACGAAACTGCGGATGCGGGTATAAATCCGGCTCGAAGGACCAGAATGTTCGCGAGTGAGCGCGGATTGCTGCGGCAGCGCGAGAATTTGACGACGCGGCAGATGGATGACCGCGAACAGATAATTGCACATAAAAGGCTTGCCACGACACGTAATTCCCTTTTTTTGGTTTTTGCGTTTTATTTAGTACACCACAATCAACAAAATACAATAAACTGAACATAAAATTTCAGATCCAGAAAACGTACGGAGAAGTCCGAGAAACAAAGCGGTCGACGTATTTTTGCGGTTAAACTGAGCGGTTATTCTAAGCGGTTTTTTCAAAGCGTACTGCGAGCAGCGTTAAGTGCGAGACTTGCTTGGTCCACGCGCGGCGCCCGTTATAAGGCGCTCGGAATTTTGGGCCCGCGTCGGCGTGGACCAATTAATTTAAGATTTTAGCGGTGACACGATTGCGACGTGTGTCATTGGCCGATGATGACATCTCATGTCGTAAACAATTCATTTTTCATGCGCGCAATCTTTTAAGATCAGCTGATTGGTGATCAGCTGATCGTGACGCATGGGCGCGCATGCCCATGAGCGGCGCAAATCTTAACGGCGGTTGACAATGTTATTGTCCGCGCAATAACGAGCGTCTTTTTCCGACGGAAAAAAATGAGATAGGTCGAGTGTTCGAGTTTTTTCTCGATAAACAAAGATTTCGAGAACTTTCTCGACGCTCGTTAATTTTAAATATAATAAATATTCGAGTATTTATTAGCGAGAATATGCGAGTTCCGTTATGCGATTTCTGAACTCGAAATGATTGATTTTAATTTCGAACATATTATGATTCACGAAGTTAGCACATTTTTATAATTTTTATTTTTTATAATATAAAAAAACTATTTAATTTTTATCAGGAATTAATAAAATGTATAACTACGAAAAGTGCTATTAGAACTCTTAGTATATTTTTTATATTTGTAGAATGTCGTGCTAGCTTCACAGACATCAGTCTTTTTAACAAAAATATTGCTCAAACTGGTATACATATATATCGTCGGAACACAATCAAAACATTATCAAAACTGTCGAGAACTGTAGAAAAAAATCAGGCAAAACTCTGATTCTCGTACTTTATATAGGGTACTTTACTCTTGATTGCGCTGGCGCTCGAACTAAAAAATTGTTTAAAAATGTTTATTATGCAAAACTGTTGCTGTAACCGATATAAATTGTCGGAACTCTGTCAGAACTATCGAGAATTGTCGAAAAACACGGCCAGTACTGCGAATATAGGGTACTTTACTCTCGGCTGCGGTGCTGGCGCTCGAACTAAAAAATTGTTTAAAAATGTTTATTATGCAAAACTGTTGCTGTAACCGGTATAAATGGTCGGAACTCTGTCAGAACTATCGAAAACTGTCGAAAAACACGGCCAGTACAGCGAATATAGTATACTTTACTCTTGGCTGCGGTGCTGGCGCTCGAACTGAAAATTGTTTAAAAATGTTTATTATGCAAAACTGTTGCTGTAACCGATATAAATGGTCGGAACTCTGTCAGAACTATCGAGAACTGTCGAAAAACACGGCCAGTACTGCGAATATAGGGTACTTTACTCTTGGCTGCGGTGCTAACGCTCGAACTAAAAAATTGTTTAAAAATGTTTATTATGCAAAACTGTTGCTGTAACCGGTATAAATGGTCGGAACTCTGTCAGAACTATCGAAAACTGTCGAAAAACACGGCCAGTACTGCGAATATAGGGTACTTTACTCTTGGCTGTGGTGCTGGCGCTCGAACTAAAAAATTGTTTAAAAATGTTTATTATGCAAAACTGTTGCTGTAACTGGTATAAATGGTCGGAACTCTATCAAAACTATCGAGAACTGTCGAAAAACATGGTTGGTACTGCGTGTATAAGATACTTTACTCTTGCCTGTGGTGCTAGCGCTCGGAGTAAAAAATTGTTTAAAAATAGTTAGGGACTGGAACTTTTTTTAAAACTTATCAGGAACTATAGAACTCCTCGAGAACTATAAGATTCCGTCGTTAAAAAATTTTTTTTCCGATGTTGCGGTGCCACCGGAAGTTAGCACCTCATTTTTTCAATTTTTGTTTTTTTAGTTAAAATCGCCGAAACTATTGATAAAACCTATCGGGAACTATAGAACTACTGTGGGTGCAAATGGAACTTGCAAAAAAATGTGCAGTGCCAACATTTGTGCCAACTTCACACACACGCGTCGGCCCCAGCGTCGGCTCCAGCGCCGGCTCCAGAGTCGGCCCCCAGCGCCGGCTCCAGCGCAGCGCCAACTCCAGCGCCGGCCCCAGCGTCGGCTTTGATACCGGCTCTAGCCTCGATTTCGGAACCGGCATCAGCTATCATAACATTAAGTGTAAGTAAACTATTTTATATAAAAAATATTAAATTTTAATTAGAATTGTATTTTATATGTATTATTATTAGAGAACATGAAACAGTTCTTTTAAATAACATTTTTAGGTTAAGAGGAAATTATTATCTTTTTCCGATTAATTAATATAATTTATGTTATGTAATTATTTTAGCTGTTAATGTAAAAAAAGAAAACATTCTTGAAAATAATTTTTATAATTTTTTTTTATTATAGTTTTATTTATCACAAAAATTTTATTAACATTGTAAGATATTTTTAAATGTATAATTAAAATTATTAATTTCTAATTAATATAATTATTAAAATTTTATTAACATAATTTTTATATAAAATTTTACATAATTTAATATAATTAAATATTAACTTTCCTCTCTCAGCTAATGTGTTTTTTGTAATATTTTATACAAATTGTAGATATTTTTAAACTATTGATTTGCAAAATCATAAATAAAAGTTTCTTGCACGCAAACAATGCAAGAAACTTTATTGTACGCAAACAATGCAAGAAACTTTTATTTATGATTTTGCAAATCGATAGTTTAAAAATATGTACAATTTGTATAAAATATTACAAAAAACAGATTAGCTGAAAGAAGAAAGTTAATATTTAATTATATTAAATTCATGTCTAACATTTGTTATATATCTCTTACATTTATTAATTATTGTATTACACACACATTTGTATTTTATGTTTCAGAAAGAAGAGCTCGGAAAACTTATTAATTCCGCCGTAATTACGGCAATGAAAGGACGAGGAGGATGGCGCGGGATGCGAGGTAGAAAAGGAAGAGGAAGAGGAGGAAGAGGAAAACGACGGGGAAGAGGAAATCGAGGCGGAGGCATTAATATTAATTATTTCAATTAAAACCTAAAATTTTAAAACATGTATGTCATAAAAACTATATTAAGTAACTATTACACCTATCACAATAGTAACAATTACTATTATCTTATAATTACTATTATATACTACTATATATATATATATATATATATATATATATATATATATCTAAAATAAATGAACAATAAATTTCTAACAAATAAAATATTCACTCATCATCTACAACGAATAATAAATCAGTAAAGGAATTCAATAATAACTACAAACCGAAAGGTCATGACATAAATAATAATTTAAACTAATCTTACCTAAAAATCGAATAAGAATACCTCATATGATGTAGTCACGTGACCCCTCCTGGATACCTGAAAATTTAATATAAATAATATATGGTCACAAGAATAATAATTTATAGCAAAGAGACGTCAATATTTCATAAAATTGCAAAATAATTATAATACATATAACAGATGACATCTATATACTTAAGGCATATACACATGAGCCCAGTGAAAAGAAAGAAAAAGATAATTGATTAACATAAATGGGCTAAGATAATTAAAAAAATTAGATTAAAATAACTTAAAAATCAGAATAAAATCAATAAATGCCGTCAAAAAACCTCCCACGAACATTTACGATCACCCTCTTATACATGAATACATGTACTAAGCCTTTATAAAATAATAACATTTCATATTATAAAACTTCACATATAATAATCCTCCTTTTTCAAACACTCTAATGACGAAAATTCATAATACCAAACCCTACAAATACACTTAAGTCGAAACATTACTTACCAGCAAGTTTTCATATGACGAAATATATGGACACCCTATATTCGTGTTCCTATTCAACAGGTGCCCCCTGGCAATAGTATCACCTGAATTAATAAAATAATAATATTAAAGACGGGCACTTACAGCTACCACGAACATAAAATGCATATGTACAATTATAAAATACACGTTTTACACATGAGCACTCTTATATGTATATATATATATATATATATATATATATATATATATATATATGAGCCGTTTATTTTGAAAGTGGCCTAAGTCCATTTATACTTAAATTGAGATATTTAAGGGTTTGTGTTTCAATGCAATTAAAAATATACAGGATACTAATGAGTCATATTGCTTAAGTGTATCTAAAGGTGTTAAATTTATAGTTCCTATTAAAATAATGGCAATTATTAAGTGAATAATATGCGTTTTCTTACCAAGAATGGAGTTAGGCCATTTTCAAAATTAACAACCAGATTTGTTATAAAATTTGAAGGAGCCCAAGTCCATTCAACATAATTTAAGATGTTTCAAATTGAAAAAAACAATACTCAATTTATTTTACATATCTTTACAACACTTCAAAAACATAATTTATGCGATTCAAAACATTTTTTAACTACATAACGTACAAAATTACAAACATAAATTACAACGTACAAACATAAATTACAAAACAATTTACTACTCATCTACATTTTGTATGTGTGAAAGGGATTTGAAGAAATCATGATGTTCCGGTGGTATATATCGTAATAGGTCAATTATGTCCTTGAATTTTGCTGTTGTAATTTGTCTGATATTTTTATACAGTGGTGTCGATACAATATTTTCGAACTTTCTTGGTCTACCCCGACGTGGTAATAAATTCAGGACTTTAAAATTTTCATTCTC